CTGGTCTGTGTCCCCAAAGGGGTTTCAAAGGAGCGGCTGACGCCCGCCCGCCAGGAAACTCCCGGCAAAGCAGCTCCTGACTGATGACTTCGTAACACGGTGCAGCCGCAGATTCTGGGCCAGGCCAGGTTCGCTCCTGAAAAGAATATATTTTCAACACCTTTGTTTGCAGAACTTCCACTGTGACATCACTCTGCTTGCAATTGAAGGTAAAAAGGCAAACGCAGCAGTCCTGTGCTGTCAGTTTGCATACGGTCGTTTTGAGATAGAGAAATTAAATTGTATCTTAGGGATAGAATTTCAAGCAACTTTCTACAGAAAAATAGCTTGTAGTTAAATTTCCTTATAATAAAAGAAATTATTCACAGGAAAAAAACCCTGTGTAACTGTGCCACCTCAAAGTAAGGGTTGTGCCTCTTTGGTGAATGTTGTACACAAGAATGTTACATTTGTAAGAGCACAGGACACTCAATAAATTTTAAGTAAACAATATAAAGAGGTTTGTTTTTTGTGTATAGTATGTTCTAATGAGGTGTCTACAAACGTAATATTTTTATCTCTAGCAAGAGACTTCAAATAGGAAATAAAGGAGATTGAGTACTTATTCTGACTACATTTCCAGCTTTTTGTGTGTGTTGTAATGATGTAGAAATCGTTTTCAAATCAAATACAAGAGCACAGGACTTTTTCTTGAATTTTGAACTTATTTATAATAAAAGACTTAGAAAATTGGCTTCAGTTTTCCATTTGTTTAAATTGTGCAAGTAAAGCTGTAGTTCATAAAGACTGCAGGAAACTCATGATTTTTAAGAGATACTTTCTGTCTTTTACTGGTGAAAGCGGTTCCAATAAAATAGTGATAGCATATCCTGTATTCAGTCTTTATATGCATTATAAGTAGCGCATTTATCAGCCTTGGCCTCTATGTCTCTAATTTCTTATAAAAAGGTGGAGGAAGAAATATTTTGAGAGGCAGTTTCAAAGAAAGCAATGTACCAAACTTTGAGTCACTAGAATTCCAAAATACTTCTTAAAAAAAACCCACAACAACAAAAAAGCAACAACAAAACTTGACAATCGCCCTATTTCAGTCCTGCTGGAATATGTTGAACACATAGGCTGTTGGGCCTTTTAACAGCCTGGTCCACTGTGTGCATTTATGGGGTGGCTGCAGAGATGTGAGGATCTTGTAATACCTCTG